AAAGAGACACAAATTTCAAATTTTGCTATTTTACATAATGACTTTGTAATGTTGAATTTATATATAATTAACAAAAGTAACAAATGTCCAACTATGTATTTTAACATAAAATATCCTTATATTTGTAAAAAACTTATTCAATGATTATGACCTATTTTTTTAGCAACAAAATTTAATAAAAGAATCTGACTTAAAAATCTTATAACAGAACACTTATTGGATAGTAAATTTCATTGAACTCATCCACTGCATTCTTGTGGTACTCCAGATGTTACATTTCGTTTAATAATTATCATAGTAACATAGTTGTTCCTTTAAAAATCACATAAATTAGGTTGAGAAATACAGAAATTGGAACTGAGAACTTTCTGGATAAATAATTCCATCGAACTAATCTACTACATTATTACGGTACCCAATGTTTTTCATTTCATATACGGAATCAAAATTTAAACATTTTTTTTCTCTGTTAAACTACATAATTAGGTTGAGAAATAGAGAACTCCGAACTGAGAACTTTCTGGATAAATGATTGTATTGAACTGATCTACTACTTAAGTTTGGGATCTAAAGTTTTAACTTTTCATTTGCGCAATTATTTTCTTGTAACAGTGTAATGTTTTGGCAGAAAAGAAAATATTTATATAACATTTACCCAACATTTTTCATTTCATTTACGGAATCAAAATTTAAACATTCTACTTCTTTGTTAAACTACAATAATTAGGTTGAGAGATAAGGAAGTCCGAAATTAGAACTTTCTGGATAAATGATTCTATTGAACTGATCTACTACATACTTTGGGATCTAAAGTTTTAACTTTTCCTTTGTGGAATCATTTTCTTGTAACAGTGTAATGTTATAGCAGTACAGAAAATATTTATATAACATTCACAGAGAAACCAAAGTTTAAAATTATTGGGTTTTGCAATTTTTTGATGAACCATAAAAAGAGACACAAATTTCAAATTTTGCTATTTTACATAATGACTTTGTAATGTTGAATTTATATATAATTAACAAAAGTAACAAATGTCCAACTATGTATTTTAACATAAAATATCCTTATATTTGTAAAAAACTTATTCAATGATTATGACCTATTTTTTTAGCAACAAAATTTAATAAAAGAATCTGACTTAAAAATCTTATAACAGAACACTTATTGGATAGTAAATTTCATTGAACTCATCCACTGCATTCTTGTGGTACTCCAGATGTTACATTTCGTTTAATAATTATCATAGTAACATAGTTGTTCCTTTAAAAATCACATAAATTAGGTTGAGAAATACAGAAATTGGAACTGAGAACTTTCTGGATAAATAATTCCATCGAACTAATCTACTACTTACTTTGGGATCTAATTTTTAACTTTTCATTTGCGGAATTATTTTCTTGTAACAGTATAATGTTATAGCAGTAAAGAAAATATTTATATAACATTCACAGAGAAACCAAAGTTTAAGATTATTGGGTTTTGCAATTTTTTGATGAATCATAAAAAGAGACACAAGTTTCAAATTTTGCTATTTCAAGTAATGACTTTGTAAAGTTTAATTTATATATAATTAACAAAAGTAACAATTGTCCAACTATGTAATTTAACATAAAGTCTCCATATATTTTTAAAAAACTTTTTAAATGATTATGACCAATTTTTTTAGCACTAAAATTAAATAAAGTAATCTGACACATAAATCTTGTAACAGAACACTCATTGGATAGTAAATTTCATTGAACTGATCCACTGCATGCTTTGGGTACTCCAGATGTTACATTTCGTTTAAGAAATAACATAGTAACATAGTTGTTCCTTTAAAAATCACATTAGATAGTTAAAGTAAAATTAATACTAAATTTATTAACTTATTTGAGATAAAACAGGTAAAGCGATTTTTACAGAGCGGTTCTATATGATGCGTACGAAAGACAAACAGAAACTAAAAACTTCGCAGATACCACTACATACGACGCACACAAGTTGTCCCTCTGCGGGCAAACTAAGGAATCATCCTTGATTTAAAAAGACCGCGAAATAAAATTTAAAAAAAAAGTAAATGAAATGCGATGAAATCGTAAACATACCGCCTACCTTGCGAGCTTATTTTAAGATTGCAATGGTCACAATAGAACAAAAGGTACGAACTTAAAACTAATTGTCGAAATTACAAGAATACGTATTAGGTTACAAATATTATGAATAGTTGCACGGTAATCGAATTAATTGTGTGATTGGACGAGTAAATTCAGACGCACTCGTCTTTACTTGAACGACTCTAACGTGACCGTCTTGACCGGGAATACATTTAATGACACGTCCTAATTCCCATTTAGCGGGTGGGAGATTAGGATTTCGTAGTAAAACAACATCGTTAATTTTCAAATTAACTCGCTCTGACAACCACTTTGTTCGCTGTTGCAGTGACTGTAAATAATCTTTGGACCATGAGCGCCAAAACTGTTCTAAGACACGTTTATAAAACTGCCAACGCGACAAGTGGTTCTCAGGTAGATCCAGAACAGATATCGCAGGTACAGTTTTTAACGCAGATCCGATTAAAAAATGTCCAGGAGTTAATGCTTCGCAACTCTCTGGATCTTCGTTTAGTTGAACAATAGGTCGAGAATTTAAGCAGCATTCGATTTGACAAAGTAAAGTCGTTAATTCTTCGGAAGTCGGTGTAGCGTTTGATAATAATGTACGCAAATGAAATTTTACATTTTTTACGCCAGCTTCCCACAGACCTCCAAAATGCGGCGCAGACGGAGGCATGAAGTGCCACGTGATTCCGTCTGAGGCCATGTAAGAAGCAATCGTCGGATCTTTCATAATGAGCTTAAATGTATGTGACAATTCGCGATCAGCACCGCGAAAATTCGTGCCATTGTCACTATAAAGATCTGTTGGCAAACCTCGACGTAAGGTAAAGCGTCTCAAAGCTGCGAGAAAAGCAGCTGACGTATAATCGTCAACAAGCTCCAAATGTATGGCTTTAACAGAAAAACAAACAAAAACAGCGATCCAAGCCTTATGTGACTTGGTTCCGCGACCCGAACTAGAGCGGACCAAAAATGGACCCGCGTAATCAATTTCGGTATGAGAGAAAGGACGAGAAGGAGATACTCTAGCACTAGGTAAATCTCCCATAAGTTGGTTTTCAACACGCGCTTTGTCTCTCACGCAAGTGACACATTTCCTGATAATTCCTTTAATGAGATTTCGCGCACCAATAATCCAATATTGAGTGCGAGCAATATAAAGAGTCAACTGAACTCCCCCGTGTAATAAATTTTTGTGCAATTGTGTCAAAATTAAAAAGGAAATCGGATGATTAGGTAGAATATCTGGTGGGTTTTGGTAAGTCAATAACTTAGACTAGCGTAGTCGTCCGCCCAATCTAAGGATACCATTGTCATCGAGAAAGGGTGAGAACTTTTGTATGCGAGAACTTGGGGGAATTGGTTTTCCTTCCTTGAGACACTGAATTTCGTGAGCAAAAGAATTTTCTTGAACGTATTCAACCCAAAATAAAGCGGCATTGTTGATTTCGGTAGCCGTCACTTGATTCGAAAACAAAATTTGGCGTTTAAAGGCTTAAATAGCTCGTAAAATTTGAGCAGTCACACGCAATAAATGTGCACAAGATGAATAGTGAGACATCAGTTGTGATTGCCAATCAGGTTCGAGGTTATTGTAGATCAGATGAGAAACTATACGAGACTCTTCGGTAGTTTCCAGACCACAATTTCGTCGAGGCCATGTCTCCGGTGAATCTAGCAGCCAAGTGGGACCCTCCGACCAAAGGGAAAAGGTTGACAAGTCCTCCGCTGAGAGTCCACGTGAGGCACAATCCGCGGGATTTTGCTTAGAAGGAACATGATTCCACGTAGCTGCAGGCAACTCCGTTAAAATACCTGACACACGATTTGCAACGAAAGTAGTCCAGGAAGTTGGTTGCTTCTGAAGCCAACTGAGAACAATTGTAGAGTCTGTCCAGCAAAAAACTTGAGAATTCATTAAACCGAGAGAATCAATAACAAAATGAATTAATTTAGACAAAAGGCTTGCGGCACATAATTCGAGTCGTGGGATGCTTATTGTCTTGAGCGCAGCAACTTTTGTTTTGGACCTGAGGAGACTGACTAAAACATCACCTGAAGCGGACCGAATTTGAGAGTATACGACTGCAGAATATGCGACACTCGACGCAGCCATGGATTTGTATCGAGACTGCATCAGAAGAATTATGCGTCCATCTTGGAACTGAAAGATTTGACAAGGCCGACAATGAAGATCGAAATTGATTCCAATCTTTAAGCAAGTCCGAGGAAAGAGAATCGTCCCAGTCTAGCTTTCGAAGCCAGAGTTTTTGCAAAAGAATTTTTGCAATAATTGTCACAGGCGAAATCCAACCCATTGGGTCGAATATTTTCGCGGTAGCCGAGAGTATTGATCTTTTTGTTGCAGGTTCTTCAGGAATTTCAAAAGTTTTGAAGTGAAAGGCATCATCTGACGGTTTCCAAAAAATTCCGAGGACTTTGAAACCTGAAGAATCGTCAAAAGGGATCTCAACTGCTAAACCATGATCAGCAGAATCCAATCCGTCTAGTAAATCAGGAGAATTACTAAACCATTTCCGTAATGGGAATCCCCCAGCATTTGTCATATTAATGACTTGATCTCTCACCTTGAGTGTGGAGGTTTTATCCGATCCTCCAAGAAAAACGTCATCAACGTAGGTTTGCTCCAAAAGCACGGAAACAGCTAAAGGAAAATTGTCCTTTTCGTCATGTGCCAACTGTCTCATTACGCGAATGGCAAGATATGGCGAAGACACCATTCCGTAGGTAACAGTATTTAATTCAAACACATGGATCGGACACTTAGGAGCTTCTCGCCACAAAATACATTGATATTTTTGATGGGCAGGATCGATGAGAATCTGGCGAAACATATTAGCAATATCAGCACACAACACGAATTCAAATTGACGCCATCATAAAATGATGGAGCAAATATCTGTTTGTAATTTTGGACCGATGTGTAAAATGTCATTAATCGAGGTTTTGTTGGACGTTGGACTCGAAGCATTAAAGACGACTCTAACTTTCGTTGTTTGGCTACTTTCGCGAACGACAGGGTGGTGCGGAATAAAGACACGAGATGAATCAGTCTGGTCAACGTCAACTGGAGTCATATGTCCCATCTCTTGATACTTTCCTAGAAAATCACGATAATTTTCAGCAAGCAGAGGATCACGAGTAAATCTTTTTTCTATTCTACACAACGAATTGAGAGCTATGTTATAAGAGTCACCTAATTTCGAGGGGGAATCATCAAAAGGTAATTGAACTACATATTTTCCATTTAAGTCTCTAGAATGTGTCTCCATAAAATGATGCTCACATTCAATTTCTTTTTTTGTCATTAAATTCACTGCTGGTATCTCTTTCAATTCCCAAAATTGACGCAAGCTTTCGTCAACTCGGGTTTCCATGGAAAAGTGGACATTAATGTGATAACTTTGAAGAGGAGATCCTTGTAGTGGTCCTGATAAGATCCAACCAAATATAGTTGACTGAGCAACGAGATCTCCACGTGGTCCAGGACAAATCTCAGGTTTGAGCAATTGAGCGTACAGATCGGCTCCAATCAGCAAATCGATCCGGTCACTTTCCCATGGATTTAGATCGGCAAGTTCGAGACTTTAAAGATTTTCAGGAATTTCTAAAAGGGTAAATTCAGCTGGAACATATGCAGTGATTTTTGGAAGTACGAATGCTTGAGTTTGGAGCGTGGTTGAACAAGGTTTAATCGTTTAAATAGTGATAGGAACGGAATAAAGGATTTTATTCGTACAACTTCCTCCCAAACCGGACACTGTAACATTCGTATTTTTGCGTGGAAGACGTAATAATTGAGCAATTAATTCGGACAAAAACGTATCTTCTGACCCTTGGTCAAGAAGAGCGCGGACATGAACGCGGCGGCCATCAGGCGCCTCAACCATCACTCGAGCGGTTCCCAACAGAACAGTAGTGCGGTATTTTTAGACGAGTTCAAATGCGATGAAATCGCCACATCATCAGACACTTGATTTGATTCTGAAACGCTATGATCAGTTTTTAATTCGCGACTTTGTGACAAATTTTTATTATCGCGATGCAATAAAGAATGATGAGGCTTTTTACAAATATTACAAAATTTTCGGCTCTGACATAAATTGCGATTATGCTTACCTAAACAGTTGAAGCATCGTGAATTAGCCTTTAAATATTCAGAACGTTCATCAATTGTTTTTTCTTTAAATACAGAACAAGCATAGAGGTTATGTTCTCTGTTACACATTGGACATACAAACTTTGTTGAGTTTTGATGCGTGTGTACCTTCTTGAGTACCGACTGCGAATGATTTGAATTTTTACTTTCAGGACGCTTTTTAATATCTACTGTAGCTTCTAAAGCGCGAATTCGAGAATCAAGAAATTTAACAAATTGATCGAGAGAGGGAGGATCTGTCTCTTCACTAATTGACAATTCCCACTGATCACGAGAAATTTTATCTAACTTGTTTATTAACATAAAAACTAACAAATCATTCCCTTCATCGATAGGACGTTTTAGACTTTTTAAAGCAGATGTCGCAGTAATAACAACGTTACGCATAGTTTTTAAATTATTCAACCAATCTGATGTGACAGGTGGCAATTCAACAATCTTTTTTAAATATTCATATATTAAAACTTTAGAATTACTATAACGAGTTTCGAGATTTTCACAAATATTCTGAAAATTGCCATCTGTCCCTGGTTGATTTTGAGCAATTATTAATGCCTCACCTTTAAGAGATGATTTGAGATAATGAAGACGCTCTGCATCCGACAAGCGATCGTTGTCAATTACAAGAGATTTAAACAGATCTCTAAAGGTGAGCCACTCACAATACGAACCTGAGAAAGTGGGTATAGTAATGCGAGGAAGTTTTACAGATGATGATGCTCCTCGTGGCGTTGCATCTGGATCTGGTGGTTGAGAACGGTCTTGTACCGGCATGGGCGGTGGCTCAGGAAGACTGCTAAGTATGTGGTATATGGCCTCCTCATACAAGTCCTCAATCTGATTAAACTCATCAGAATTATAAATTGTAATTGTTGTCTCTCCTCCTTCGGCTTGATTAGGAGGATCTATTATTGGAGGATTTGCAAGTAAAGCGGCATGATTTTGTCGACACCTCAGCCAGCAATCTTGTAAATTTGTTAGGCGTCCTAACAACAGTTGTCGAGGTGGATTTTCGTAATTTAAAACACGATTAACAATCTTTTCGATAGAGTTAAATAGAGTTTCTTGGTCACTTAACACTCGTTCATAACTAGTCGTGGCCATGTTTGTTACAGGAAAAATAGCCGACCACGCTAAGTAAAATATAGTGAAAAAAATTTTTCATGAAAAAAGGTTCTCGATACTGAGAAAAAAAGTAAAATAGCACCAAAATATTGCGGAAAAAACACAATAAAGTCTTAAAAAAAGTACTTTTTGACTATTCAAGTCACTTGAGAGAATAAAAAAATGCAATATATAAAGGAAAAATCCCTTAAGCGTCACTTAACACAAAGCACTGATTTCACTTTCTTTTCTCCTTTTTGGAAATCCGGCTCGAAGGACCATGTTATGAATTTAAACAGTTTAACATAAAGGACTTGTGAAAAAAAGGAGAATAAGATAGTGAAAGTAAAATTAACACTGAATTTATTAACTTATTTGAGATAAAACAGGTAAAGCGATTTTTACAGAGCGGTTCTATATGATGCGTACGAAAGACAAACAGAAACTAAAAACTTCGCAGATACGACTACATACGACGCACATAAGTTGTCCCTCTGCGGGCAAACTTACTTTGGAATCTAAAGTTTTAACATTTCATTTGCGGAATCATTTTCTTGTAACAGTGTAATGTTATAGCAGACATGAAAATATTTATATAACACTCACAGAGATATCAAAGTTTAAGATTGGTTTTTGTAATTTTTTGATGAATCATAAAAAGAGACACAAATTTCAAATTTTGCTATTTCACGTAATGACTTTGTAAAGTTTAATTTTTATATATTTAACGAAAGAAACATATGTCCCACTGTGTAATTTAACATAAAATCCGTATTTTTTAGCGTTTATTAATTTTCCAAATGGAAATTGCATTTTTTATTGTAATTTCTGAGAAAGTATTGTTACAGTTTTTGTGAAGAAAGTGCTCATATTTAATTTATTGAAATGAAATATTTTTCATTATTATAACTCAAAAAAAGTTTTAGCTGGTGTATATCTTGCCAATAATCAATTATCCATAAAGGAAAAAGCATTTTACCTTCTTGTTTTAAAGAAAAGGCTGTTGAAAATTTTCCAAAATTTTAGTTTCAATGTAGATGGCGCTGCCTCACTTGGACCTGGCCTTAATTCCTTTGCCTACATGGACCGTTAGAAATTGTTCTTATTTATTCGAATGGAACGAGTATTAGAGATTAAGAGAAAAGAAAGTATAATGATATGCAAGAAAATATTAATTTCTTATATTAAGATTTCAAATAGAAACTCAAATTAGTTTTTAAGCATAATAAAGTATTGCAATCAAATATTACTCACAACTTACTTATGTGCTTTCCTTGAAGGAAAGTATACGTAGTATGGTTAAATAATTTATATGTTTAGATATTTTAACGATGTTCAAAATTGGTCGGAAGTCAATACAGGTACCAGATTTTAATTATCATTTATCGAAAGTACAAATACTCCCATTTTTGACCATATTTAACACTGGAATCCAAAATAAATTACACCGAGTACAATGGTTCGCATGGAACATGCAGTATTATTGTTTAATTGGACAACTAAGTCCGAATCCGGTTTCGGAATGAATAAACAAATCTATTACTGATGGGTCAAAGGTTAAAGTACAGAAACCCGGATAAAGACAATTAACATATTATACCACACTAAAATAATAAGATTATTATTATTCGATATAATAGATAATGCTTCTGAAAAAGATTTTGTGTAAATCTAACAGGATCATTTATAAAAATACGAAAATCTTACAGTTTGTGGTTTCACGTAATATCATGCCTTAAATTATTTCTGTAACGCATACTTTGAGGATTTTTGTTATAGTGTAGTGTGCATGTTAGTTGGCTCTAATTATATAAGTAACGCATACTTTGAGGACTCATTAATAAAATTGTACTGAAATTATGCGTTTTTTCGAAAAACTACAAAAATTTCAATGGTTCCCTCTTGAAAGATATTTGTTTTCTTGAGAGTAGTCTATTTTTGGTTGAATGTTTTATGATTTCTACTGTTATAATCATCAAAGATTGTTATAGTTCTATCTTTATCATTGTTATTCAACTTTAGATAAAAAATAATTTATGAATTTATATATTATCATTTGTGTATATTATGGATTGTATTGTACTTGAATTATTGTCCTCATGGTTTGCTTGGACAAAATAAAGAAATAAAAATAATAATAATATAAGGACGGACCTTTTGTTCCCATGTACTCGTGGGATCTAAATGGAGACTACAGAAAACAACAAAAACAAAAGTGTTTCGCCTGAGAGTACCGAACACTCTTTGGAGAGTCGGGATTCAGGGCTTGAGATATTGCTGCAGGAAGAAAGGGCACATTTAACGTTAACTTCAGCCTCGGTAATATCGCCTCAGGATGAAATGAAACCTGAAAGGGAACAATATATTTCTGAGGCTCTAATACAGAAAAGTTCGGGACGATCTCAGGGTTCCACTGTTACTGTGGTCGAAGACCTAATGGCGAGATAATCCGTTAAGGGTAAAAAGCTCAGTGGCAGCGCAACAAGGAGGTTGGAGAATCCAAGGGTACAGAACCGGCAAGGGTCTCAACCTGCTTCATCATCGACTTCTATGCGGGCCAACAGTAAAGCTGGGTCTGTTGGTCAGGCACGAAAAGGAGTTCGCGCCGATAAGAGTCAGACACCTCTCCACAACAGGAGAAGAGAAGGAGGCAAAGACCCCTAGTTGGAACCGCCTAATTCTCCCAAGTGTCAAGATCTGGGATTGCACCTCGTTTCTGAGAAGTTCGCCTCACAAGAGGGGCGATTTTAATTGAGTGTCTTGACTCAGATTCTCGGGAGTGGTTAAATGTCCACGTACCAAATATCTGTCAGGCAATCGAGGGTCTGCCACTTAAAGTGATAGATACTTCTAACCTCATTAAGAGGGCCAGGGTGGTTGCTTGGGTACCAGGTCCTAAGGTGGACCAAGTTTCAATCCTGACTAACCTCAGGTAACAGAATCCTGGGGTGTATACAACTAATTGGAGGTTGTATTCGGGAGGTTAAACAGGATCAGGGGTAGTTTCTACGGCTGCAAGCTGGACTCTCGCGGTAGATGTGCCTGAGAGTAAGCTGGGTGTGCTTGAGTGTCTTCACTACAAACTGTGTTTCGGTCTTAGGCATATCACTCTTCGAGTGAGTAAGCACAGAATGGATCCGATGAGTTGTAGACAAGACACGGCTAGCGAAGCGACGGAGGATTTCGTGGATAAGTCTTAATATTGACGGACCACAGTATTCAATGTTCGCAGATTAACTTGCATCACTGTATAAGCGCAACGGCGATTCTAGCCAAGAACTTTACAGCTATTGCCTTCATTCAAGAACCTTGGGTTTACAAGTGTAAGATTAGAGAACTAAATAACTGTGGGGAGTTAGTGTATTCACCACAAGAATTACCACCCAGGGCGTGTATTTTCTATAAGGGAGTAAATACGGTTCCTCTTTCAGAGTTAACTAGTCGATATCTGGCAGTTATAAAAGTCATGTATCGAGATAAAAATGGAAGTAAGAAAGAGTTGATTCTTGCCTCTGGTTACTTTCCAAGAACAGAAAATGAACTCTTACCACCGGACAAGGTGTACTGTCAGTACTGGCCTCCCTGTTAATCCAGACAAGACAAATATTGTTTTCTTCACTAGAAAATACAAAGTTCCAACTGTGAGGAAACCTGTATTTTATGGAAAAGAAATGCTTTTTTCTGATTCGGTTAAATATCTAGGAGTGATTCTGGACAAGAAGCTAATCTTGAGAAAGCACTCAGAATATCAATATAGTATGTTTTGCACTACTTTTTGGATTTGCAGAAGGGCAATTATATTATCTTGGGGTCTAAAACCGGATATGGTTTTGTGGCTCTATTGTATGGTCCTGTTGACAAAGTTTCTGCATGCATCAATTGTTTAGTGGATTAGAGAAAACGGTTGAAAACGGTGAACTTCTGCCTTTGAGGTCTCTTTTGAACCATTCCTCTTCAAAAATATTTGACCGAATGGAAAAATATTTTTACTAAATATCTATAAGTACTAAAGTGTCTCGAAGTGTAAAAAAGTAATTTTCTTTACCATAATCCCTTTGCGCAGGATTTTTTGACATACTGTAAAAAACTCAATACAACATAATTTTACTTTACTGAACATGGAACAGGGAAAAAAAGCTATACTGCGCATGGTGATTATTACATTTTTATTTCAAGCAATAATTATTATTTTTGAAACGCATACTTTGAAGACTTTTGTTATAGTGTAGGTTGCATGTTAGTTTGCCCTGAATATATATATCGGGCTGAAAAAACTTGTACAAGAAAATGTACATGTTCTTGTACATATTTTTTGTGCAGGTTTCATGTACAAGTACTTTCACATGAACACGTTCATGTTCTTGTACAGAAACATTTGTTTAATAAATTTTATTATTTATGAAACGCATACTTTGAGGACCTTTGTTATAGTGTAGTGTGTATGTTATTTGGTCTTGGTTATGTAAGTAACGCATACTTTGAGGACTGCTACACTGCGCATAGTGATTATCACATTTCGATTTTAAGCCTTTGTTATTATTTATGAAACGCATACTTTGAGGACCTTTGTTATGGTGTAGTGTGTATGTTATTTGGTCTTGGTTATGTATGTAACGCATACTTTGAGGACTGCTACACTGCGCATAGGGATTATCACATTTCGATTTTAAGCCTTAGTTAGTATTTATGAAACGCATACTTTGAGGACCTTTGTTATGGTGTAGTGTGTATGTTATTTGGTCTTGGTTATGTAAGTAACGCATACTTTGGGGACGGCTACACTGCGCATGGTGATTATCACATTTCGATTTTAAGCCTTAGTTATTATTTATGAAACGCATACTTTGAAGTCCTTTGTTATAGTGTAGTGTGTATTTTATTTGGTCCTGGTTATGTAAGTAACGCATACTTTGAGGACTGCTACACTACGCATGATGATTATCACATTTCGATTTTAAGCCTTAATTATTATTTATGTAACGCATACTTTGAGGACTGCT